ATGGGTAAATGAACCACTCTGGTGTGCGAGGGACTGTCGTGTTGCCCTGGGTGCAGGATCAGTGCTCAAACTGGAAATGTCCCAAGCAAACCAGAAGAGTTGGTCACCTGCAATCAGACAAATCCATCCTGTGGGGCAGATCTCTGGGCTCCAAAAAGTCAGTGCCTTGAAAACATAAGAGGAAGAGACTGTCCTATGTTAAAAGAGATGAAAGAGACACAACCAGTGAATGTAGCATGTGAACTGCTATAGAAGACATTTTGGGAATAGCTGTGGGAATTGAAAATAGAGCCACGCCACAAAGGCAGTCCATAGATGTAAATGAACTACATCACTAAGCACCCTGTTTAATTCAGCTGCCATCTGTGTGTGTGTGTGTGTGTGTGTGTGTGTATACGGTTGTGTGATGTGTGCTACTGTGACACACACTCTGGGGCAAGCTCCTTATCTCCCTTGTGACCATTAGGTTGTCTGAAGACCGTACTTCTGGAAGCCCTGGACTACATATTACATAATATTAGTGAAGACTGGTGAGGTATTCATTTTCTTAGCTGGGTTTATGGTGTCAGTGTTATATAGAAAAATGATCTATGCTTAGATATGCTGAGGTACACAACTTAACTTTCAACTGGTTTATTAAAAAACATACACACATAGACAAAAAAATACAGCAAAATGTTATTTGTTGAATAAAAAACAGGTATGTGGATATGTGACTTGGGCCAAATTCCACTGCTTTCCTAGGAGGCCATAGCAGAGAGCTGGATTGGAAGAAGAGCAGCCAGGACATGAAACAGCACCCATATGGGATGCCAGCACCATAGGCAGAGGCTTAACCTACTATGCCACAGTGCCAGCCCGTTGTTTTTATGTTTTTGAAAACTTTCAGAATCAAAAAAGGAAGCATGATTCTAGCATCATCTTACAGGATATAAAGCACTAACAAAATTATCAACATGCTGATTGTCCATAGCCAAATCTATTTTTATTTCTTCATTAGCTCTTCATTGAGGGAGGAAATCTAAGCTAAAAACAGAGATGGGGCCGGCACTGCGGCACAGCAGGTTAAGACACAGCCTGTGATGCAGACATTCCACACGGGCTCTGGTTTGACTCTCAGCTGCTCCTCTGCCAATCCGGCTCCCTGCTAATGCACCTGGGAAAGCAGTGGAGGATGGCCCAGGTCCATGGGCCCCTGCACCCACATGAGAGACCAGGAAGAAGCTCCTGGTCCTTGGCTTCAGCCTGGTCCAGTCCCGGACACTTGTGGTCATTTGGGGAGTGAAGAAGCTGATGGAAGATCTCTCTCAGTCTCTTTCTCTCTCTGAAACTCTGCCTTTCAAATAAGAAATCAATGTCTTGAAAAAAATAAAAAAAAATTTAAAAACCAGAAAGATGAGTAGATTTAGCCAAGAAGTGGTAGAGAAAAGAGCAATCCAAATGCAGGGAACCAAACGTGAAAAGAACCAGCACGGAAGACGTTTGTCCTTTTCAGGGAAAGGAATTTGAAGTATACAAAGAAATGGGACGCCTCAGATTATGAAGTGGCTTCCAAGCTTTATGAATCATTTGGGACTTAATTTCAAAAGCAGTAAGAAGCTAATGACAGATTTTAAACCATGGAGAAACACAACGAGATCTGCATTTCGGGAAAAATCACTGTGGATGTAGAGTGCAAATCAAGGGGAAAGCGGCATCAGCCGGGGAGACGGCTCTTGCGGAAATCATCTGCTGAGAGATGATGGTGGCCCGCAGGGATGGCAATTCAGTGACAAATTGGATGGGAGCAGTAGGACAGGGAGACTCAGAAATCATTTCCAGGCTCCTGGCTGTGGTGACTGCGCAGATTGGTGCACTCATTTAAGATTAGAGTCAGAGGAGGAAGGACAGGCTTATGGGAAAGATGCGAAGCGTTCAACATTAGACATGTCGAACTGGGCATGTCTAGAAAATAGCAAGATAGAATCTACCTTGTGGGCAGCTGGACAGGGGAATGGTAAAGAGAACTCTGGGTTTTGACTGAGATAGGGGAACAAGGGAGGGGGAAAAATAGAGTTGCTTTTTAAAATGCTTCCATCATAAACATAGATAGTAATATAACCCCATTACGTAAAATTAATAAGCAAACAGAAAAAAACTCATCTGATTACCATAAACCAACAGTTTGATCATTTTAAATTACTTCCTTCTAGTTTTTTAATGGGTATTATACTGTATATAATATGCATGTATATATGTGTGTACATATCAAAGTCAGGAGCCATGAACTCAATCTGGGTCTCCCACGTGGTGGGGCGGGTACCCAAGTACTTGGGCCACCTTCCACTGCCTTCCCAGGGTGTGCATTAACAAGAAGCTGGAATTGCGAGCCACAGCAGCTGAGACTTGAACCAGGGCTCCCATAATGTGATTTCAGCACTGCAGGAGGTGGCTTACCCCACAGTGCTACAGCACCAGTCCCTATTTGACATCTTAATAAAACCTTCCTGGCTGTGCTCAGAAGGTGCCTTTCAAATGCGAACTGACCAATTCAGAGCATCACCTACCCTAACTAGCCCTTCAAACCCAGGAGACAATGCTCCTCTCAATCACCCAGGGCCAGGAACCAGACAACTAGGAACCACCCATGCAGCTTAGAGCTCACAGCAATTATTCAAACTAGCCTGCCCTGCCATGCCTTTCCCCAGGAAATCCTAATAAAGGCAGTAGCCTAAACCTTCCCCTTGCATCTGTCTTCTGCCTCCTGACTGCCCTGGTGGCTCTAGTGTGTGACTCTGTGCAGTGTGCCATGCCTCCTGTCTTTAGGAGCTATCAGCTTGCTTTCTGGGCCCCCTCTGGTGTTCTCTTGTTGCCCTAGCTGACTGATCATCTCATAAAAGAATACAAGGGGCCAACACTGTGGCACAGGTTAATCATCCGCCTCCGGCACCGGCATCCCATGTGGACACCAGTTCTAGTCTCGGCTGCTCCTCTTCCAATCCAGCTCTCTGCTATGGCCTGAGAAAGCAGTGAAAGATGCCCCAAGCGCTTGGGCCCCTGCACCCATGTGGAAGACCCAGAAGAAGCTCCTGGCTCCTGGCTTCGGATCAGCCCACCTCCAGCTGTTGAGGCCATTTGGGGACTGAACCAGTGGATGGAAGACCTCTCTCTCTGTCTCTCCCTGTCACTTTCTGTAGATCTACCTCTCAAATAAATAATTTTAAAAAGAATAATACAAAACATTATACAGTAGCTTTAACAGCCGTTTTTTTCTAAGGAGGAGCCTTCTCTAGAAATATTCAGAAGTAAGAAGAGTTAAAAAAGCTAGTTGAGGGGTAGGTAGTGTGACAGAGTTGGTAAGACTGCTGCCATACTGCAGCAGCATCCACTATGGGCATCATTTCGAGTCCTGGCTGCTCCACTTCCAATCCCGGCCCCTGCTAATGTGCCAGGGAAAGCAGTTGAGGATGGCCCAAGAGCTGAGGTCCCTGTACCCAGAAGGGAGACCAGGAAGAACCTACTGATTCCTGGCTTCAGAACAGCCCAGCTCTATACATTGCAGCCATCTGGGGAGTAAACTAGCAGATGGAAGATCTCTCTCTACCTCTTTTTCTCTGTAAATTCTGCCTTTCAAAGAAATAAATAAATCTTAAAAAAAAAAGCCAGCTGAAAGGCACTCAGTCAATAGTTAAGATACTAGTGGGACCAGTGCTGTGGCTTAGTGGGTAAAACTGCCACCTTCAGTGTAGGCATCCCATATGGGCACCGGTTCAAGTCCTGGCTGCTCCACTTCCAATCCAGCTCTCTGCTATGGCCTGGGAAAGCATTGGACAATGGCCAAGTGCCTGGGACCCTGCACCCACGTGGGAGACCCAGAAGAAGCACCTGGCTCCTGGCTTTGGATCAGTGAAACTCCAGCCATTGAGGCCATTTGGGGAGTGAACCTGCAGATGGAAGATCTATCTCTGCCTCTGCCCCTCTATAACTCTGCCTTTCAAATCATAAGTAAATAAGTCTTTAAAACAAAAAAGATACTAGCTAAAATGCCCATGGCCCCCATCAGAGTACCTGGATTCAACACCCAGCTCTAACTCCTGACTCCAGCCTCCCTGAGAGGCAGTAGTGATGGCTCAAGCACCTGGGTCCCCATGGGAGACTGGGATTGAGTTCTCAGCTCCCAGCTACAGCCCAGTCCAGCCCTGGCTATTGTGGGAGTTTGGGGAGTGAACCAGCAGATGGGCACTCACACTGTCTGTTTCTGTCACATGAATAAGTTTTTAAATACTAGCTGACCCGATATCATTTTGTAAATTAGAGAAGGCTCACTAAGTTAAATGTCCTTAGCCACTAAAAAATTCAAAACTAAGTCTTGTTAGGCAAGTATCTAAGAATTCTAGAACTGAAGAAATCACAGACCAGAGAACACTGAATATATTCAGATAACCAGTTCTCAATATCCACTTTATTGTAGACATACTATTCTAGGATTCTAGAGCTTTGTGTCTCCGTACTACGAAGTGCAATTATTCATATTCAGTCCCTTCTTTGAAAATCTCCTTTCTCCTTCCATAGGTGAGAGCTAAGCGCTACTACTGCTCCTAGGGATAATCTTCTCAAAAGGCATTCTAGAAGCCTCAAAACAGAAAACTCCAAGGAATGAACCTCTGCTGACGAGGACTCAGTCACTGTGGCAATCACTTCACAGCTTCTTCTGCTTTGTAAAAAGCTAAACTTGTTTCTAGTTCTACTTCATGAACTCTAAAGTCTGAAAACATCCAAAAACAGTCAAGTCTCTGAGCAAACGCACAGACCCCAGGAGTAAAATCAGAACAGTCCAGATCCAGGGCCAAGGAGTGGAGAGCAGTGAAAACAAGGAAAACCGGCAGGTGTGCCAGAGAACCTGCTACCTAAGGTTCAACCTGCCTCAGACAGGAGGCCAACCACGTTCTTCCTGCTCACAGGCCAAGGATGGCTTTCCTAGGGAATGCTCCCAGGGCCTGCCATGCAGCAATAAGCCAAACCTGCAAGTTTCTGAAACTTCTGCCTTAGCAAATCGCCTGCAGTCTTCCAGGAGGCTGCTCATCATGTGCAGAGGAGGGCCAGCTCGCAGTGTGCGGTGTGGGGAAACAAGTCCACGGGTACAGCTTGTCTCAGGACAAAAGGTTCGCCGAGGAGCTTCTTAGCGGAGTCTGGAGGACAGCACAGCCTGGAGAAACAGATCATAAAATCAGTTGCCACAAACAAAAGAGCCTACAAGAGCACAACTGCCTACAGTGTCAGCCCTGCCTTTGTGCTCCACAGGCCCTCTATTTCTCGCTTAGCCAGCGCTGATCGTATCTAATGTAACTTGTTTCTTCACCATATTACTTGCTGCAGTATCTTTTTGAGGGTAGAAATGAGACAAAAACTGCTTTTCATTCATTCATCTCTGTGTTCCGAGAATGAGACAGAAAGTGTGAAATTTTCACACACTAGTTAATTATCCAGCTGACAGAAGAGAGTGCTCTCAGGCCAGCGCTGTGGCATACCAAGTAACGCCTCTGCCTGTAGCCCCAGCATCCCGTATGGGCACCAGTTCAAGTCCCAGCTACTCCTCTTTTGATCCAGCTCTCTGCTATGGCCTGAGAAAGCAGTGCAAAATAACCCAAGTCCTTGGGCCCCTGCACCCACATAGGAGACACAGAAAAACCTCCAGGCTCTTGGCTTCAGATAGGTTCAGCTGTGGCTGTTGCAGTCTTTTGGGGGAGTGAACCAGCAGATGGAAGACCTAACACTCTCTCTCCCTCTGCCTCTCTGTAACTCTGCATTTCAAATAAATAAATAAAATCTCTTAAAATATAAAAAAAGGCACTTGCTCACATGCTCTCCCTGGATTTTGAAATAAACTTTTATAAATTTTTATTAAAGATTTGTTCATTTATTTGAAAGTCAGAGTTACACAGGGAAAGAAGGAAGGGCAGAGAGACAGGTCCTCAATCTGCTGGTTCACTCCCCAATTGGACACAATGGTCGGAGCTGCACCGATTGGAAGCCAGGAGCCAGGAGCTTCTTCCTGGTCTCCCACATGGGTGCAGGGGCCAAGGACTTGCGCCATCTTCTACTGCCATAGCAGGCCATAGCAGAGCTGGATCGGAAGAGGAGCAGCCGGGACTGGAACCGGCGCCCATATGCGATGCCAGCACTGCAAGAGGCGGCTTTATCCACTACGCCACAGCGCTGGCCCCTAAGCAAAACTTTTTATTTTATTTTATTTATTTTTTTATTTTTTGACAGGCAGAGTGGACAGTGAGAGAGAGAGACAGAGAGAAAGGTAGCAAAACTTTTTAAAGATTAATTTTTTATTTATTTGAAAGGCAGAGTTACAGAGGGGGAGGGGGAAATAAAGAGAGAGAGGACTTCCATTAGCTGGTTACACTCCCCAAATGGCTACAATGGTCGGGGCTGGGGCAGGACAAATCCAAGAGCCAGGAACTTTACGTGCATGCATGGGCCCTCTGCTGCTGCTTTCCCTGCTGGATCAGAAGTGAAGCAATCAGGACTCAACTGAAGTCCATATGGGATGCCGTCCACTGCAGGTAGATGCTTATTAACCCTCTACACCACAGTGCCGGCCCCAAAATAAACAATTTTTTTTAAAACTCAGTAATACAACCCAATGGGGGCCAGCATTATGTTATAACAGGTGAAGTGGCAAGCCACAATTTGGGCACCAGCTCAAGACCTGGCTGCTCTGCTTTCAATCCATCTCCCTGCTAATCCAACTGTACACACATAGACCAGGAAGAAGCTTCTGGCTCTGGCCTGGCTCAGCCCTGACCACTGTAACCATTTGAGGAGTGAACCAGTGGATGGAAGATCTCTCACTCTCTAACTCTGCCTTTCAAATAAATAAATAAATCTTTAAACAGACAAGAAAGGAAACAGATAACTGAATTAAAAATAGGTAAAAGTGGGCCAGCGCTGTGGCAAAGCGGGTAAAGCTGCTGTCTGCAATGCCAGCATCCCATATGGGTGCCAGTGCAAGACTTGACTGCTCCACTTCCAGTCCAGCTCTCTGCTATAGCCTGGGAAAGCAGAAGATGGTCCAAGTCCTTGGGCCCTTGCACCCTTGTGGGAGACCTCAAAGAACCTCCTGGCTCCTGGCTTGTTATCGGCCCAGCTCTGGCTGTTGATGCCATCTGCAGAGTGAACCCGCGGATAGAAGACACCTCCCTTCCTCCCTCTCTCTCTCTCTCTCTCTCTTTCTCTCTCTCTCTCTCTCTCTGCTTCTGCCTATCTATAACTCTTTCAGATAAATAAATAAATCTTTAAAAAAATTTTTTTCTAAAAATAAGCAAAGCATTGAAATAGACATTTCTCCAAAGATTTTTTTAATGGCCAATAAGCACATGAAAAAAATGCTAAACAGCATTAGCCACTGGGGAAACACAAATGAAAACCACAATGAGCTATCACTTCTCACGCACTATAATCAAATAGATAATAACAAGGTTTGGTGAGGGTATGGAAAAACTAGAACACTCATACACTGTTGCTAGAAATATAAATTGGTACAGTTAGTTTGGAAACAGACTTGTAGCTCCTTAAAAGGTAAAAATAGCATAGACCCAATAAATCCACTCCGAGGCGTCTGCCCAGCAAAAATGAATATGTATGTCCACACAAAAACTTGCCCATGAGTGGTCATGCAGCAGCATTATTCTTACCAGCCAGAAGTGAAAACAATCCAAATGCCCACAAACTGACAAGTGGCCCAATAAAATGTGGTATGCCCACACAATGAAGTATTATTCCTTTCTATGACCATAAGAATGAATGAAATACTAGATACATACTAAAACATGAATAAATCTTGTAAATATAATTCTATGCGAAAAAAAGACGGATGCAAACAACCACATATTCTTATGACTCCATTTATAGGAAATACCCAGTATAGGCAAATCTAGAGAGTCAGAAAGTAGATTACTGGTTGCCTAGGGACAGTGGGGTGGGGAAAAATGTGGAGTGACTACGTGATACAGGGTTTCGTTTTGAGATGATGAAAATGTCCTGGAATTAGAGAGTAGAGACAGTTGCACAAGTCTGAGAACATATCAAAACTCATTAAATTGTACAATTTAAATACGTGAATTGATATATGAATCATATCTCAGTAGAGCTGTTATAAAAAATAACATGTCTTAGAGATCTTTCCTTATCAGTACATGGAGAATGGAGAACATCACCTTTTTTTTTTTTTTGAATAGCAACACGATGTTCTGTTGAATGGTACTACAGTTTGCACATGATTTGCCACCCGCACAATGACCTTTAAACACGACAGTCTTATGTTAATGATTAATGGATTAATGTTAACAGTCGATGGATTAAGAGTGGAAGCTCCTTACCAGAAGGTAGTTTTTGAGAGTGCTCGTTATATCAACAAGCTTGCTCCCTATCTCACTCTGCTTCCAAGCTCGCCAAGTGACCATTTCTCTGTACACACACTTGTCATTGTCAGCCATCCGATCTTAGACTGTGAACCTCCAAAACCATGAGCCACAATAAACCTTATTCCTTTGTAAGTAGTTTCTTTAAAATATTTTAGTTAAAGAAGGAATGTTAGATAGATACAGCACAGTTGTTTCAATCAATTCCTCACTGATGAGTTTTGAGGATATTGCATCTTTTCCTGTTAAAGAACTATAATAAATAACTTTGCATATATGTCATTTTCTATATATAAGAGTCTATCAGAGGTGGGGAACCTTTATTCTGCCATTTGGATATTTATAATTTCATGGGCCACAGAAAATTATCAACTTAAAAATTATCGTGGTATAGATTCACTGAATTTTCAGTCCCGGCTGCAGTTGCCTTGGCAGAACCACACCAAATGATACACAGCCCCCAGGCCAGATGTTCCCCACTGTTAACCTACAGTATAAAGTTTGAGGAATGGAATTACAGGGCCAAAGGGTGTATATACATTTATAACTTTAATCTGTATGGCAAACCACCACAAGGATTTACATGGACTAGTACTCATTTACATGTGCTAGTACTCAATTTGCACCAGTAATTTTGGGACTGGCATTGCGGCACAGTGGGTTAAACTACTGGTTACAATGCCAACATCCCATATCAAAGCACTAGTTCAAGTCCCAGCTATTTCACTTCCCATCCAGCTTCCTAATGCACTTGGGAAAGTAGTGGAAGATGACCCAAGTATGAAGGTCCCTGCCACCCATGTAGGAGACCAGATAGAGTTCTGAGCTCCTGGCTTTGGCCTGGCCCAGTCCTGGCTGTTGTACCTGTTTCAGGAGTGAACTGGTGGATGGAAGATCTCTTTCTTTGTATTTCTAATCTCGCTCTATAACTGTGCCTTTCAAATAAATAAAATAAATCTCAAAAGACTATACCAGGAATTTTTTTAGAATTCACATTTCCCCATATTACTGACAAAAGCACATTATCAAACTTTTGTACTTTTGCCAATCTGTGAAGTAAAAAGTAGCAACATAGAGTATTTCTAACTTGGATTTCCATTACTAGGGGGAAGATAGCATTCTTTCATGATTCATAAGCACATTTACTTTGCATATCCGCTGCTCTTTTTTCTACTGGGCAGTTGTCTTTTTTTCTTTAAAGACTTAATTTATTGGGGCCAGCACTGTGGCGCAATGGGTTAATGCCCTGGCTTGAAGTGCATGCATCCCATATGGGCACCAGTTCGAGACCCCGCTGCCCCACCTCCAATCCAGCTCTCTGCTATTGCCTGGGAAAGCACCTGGGAGACCCAGAAGAAGCTCCTGGCTCCTGACTTGAAATCTGTGCAGCACCAGCCGTTACAGCCAATTAAGGAGTGAACCATCGGATGGAGGACCTCTCTCTCCACCTCTCCCTCTCTGTGTAACTCTTTCAAATAAATAAATAAATCTTTACCAAAAAAAATTTAATTTATTTATTTGAGAGGTAGAGTTACAGAGAGAGGGAAATACAGAAAAGAGGTCTCCCATCTGCTGGTTCACTCCCCAAATGGCCACAATGGTCATGGCTGAACCAATCCGAACCCAAGATCTAAGAGCTTCCTCCGGGTCTCCCAAGTGGGTACAGGGACCCAAGGACTTGGGCCATCTTCCCCTGCTTTCCCAGGCCATAGCAGAGAGCTGTATTGGAAGAGCAGTAGCCAAGACTTGAACTGGCGCCCATATGGGATGCAGGCGCTGTAGGCAGAGGCTTGGGCCACAATGCCACATTGCTAGCCCTAGTCCTTTTGCTTATCAATTTCCAGCAATTTGTGATATGAACTGCAAAGCTGCCCCAATTTGTTGTCACCTGTCTTTGCTTAGGATCCTTTTCAACATGCACAATTAAGTGATTTTGTCAACATTTTTGTTCAGATAAAATCCACGTACTATACAGCTCACCTGTTTATATAGTTCAGTGGTTGTTACCATATTCAGAAAATTGTACAACTATCACAACAATCAGTTTTGGAACACTTTCATTAGCCCAAGAAGATACCACGTACCCATGAACAGTACACTCTATTTCTTCCCAGCCCTAGATAACTACAAAGCTAGTTCCTATTTCTATAGATTTGCCTTTTCTAGATATTTCCAATAAATTAGATTATATAACATAAGGTCTTTTGCATCTAGTTTTGGATATCAGTCCCTTATTAATGGTGTGTAAATATTTTCTCTTACTCTGTGGGTTGTCTTTTTACTTCTAAGTAGTATATCTGCAACACAACATCTTTTTAAGAAAATTTTGATAATTTTGGGGAGGTGTTAGGCTTTTGATGTCATATCTAAGAAGCTTTGTCTAATCCACAATCATAAAGATTTAAAATCTCCTACATTTTCTTCTATGAGTTTTATAGTTCATTTCTGTACATGGTGTAATGAAGGGAACAGTTATTTTTATATAGTCACAAATTCAACAATTCCTTTATTATATGGCTTCTAAATGTTCACAGCTAAAAGGGCTTCAGCACTCTAAGATTATAAAGAAATTCTTTGCTTTTCTAGGGTGCATTTATAGATTCCCTTTTATACATTTAAATCTTTGAGCCATTTCTAATTTATCCTAGTTTACAGGGTGAGATAATGGACCCAACTTTTTCTTTTCACCATGGCTACCCAGTAGTCCATGACCATTTATTGATTTTCCAACTTTTCCCCACAGATTTGAGATGCCACCTTTATAGTATATTCAAAAACAGTGTCAAACAGTTATTAAAAATAAATGATACAGGGCTGGCGCTGTGGCATAGCAGGTAAAGCTGCCCCCTGCAGTGTCGGCATCCCACATGGGCACCGGTTCGAGTCCCAGCTGCTCCACTTCCAATCCAGCTCTGCACTGTGGCCTGGGAAAGCAGTAAAAGGTGGCCCAAGTGCTTGGGTCCCTGCAACCGCGTGGGAGACCTGGAGGAAGCTCCTGGCTCCTGGCTTAAGATTGTGCTCAGCTCTGGCCATCGTTGCCATTTGGGGAGTGAACTAGCAGATGGAAGACCTTTCTGTGTCTCCCTCTCTCAAATAAAAATAAATAAAATCTTAAAAAAAGATTCTTCATATCTATAGTTATACTCCTTTTCTCATGTATGACATTTTATATTTGTTTTTTACCACTTTGTATTGTCGATTAGGTTTATTTGTCTATTTAATTCTTTTATTCCAATAATATATTTTTTTTAAAGATTTATTTATTTATTTAAAAGGCAGAGTTACAGAGAGTCAAAGGCAGAGAGAGATAAAGAGAGAGAGAGGTCTTCCATTCGCTGGTTCAGGCCCCAGATGGTTGCAATGGCCGGAGCTGCACTGATCCAAAGCCAGGAGCCAGGAGCCTCTTCCAGATCTCCTATGTGGGTGCAGGAGCCCAAGGACTTGGGCCATCTTCTACTGCTTTCCCAGGCCACAGCAGAGAGCTGGACTGGAAGTAGAACAGCTGAGACTCGAACGGGTACCCATGTGAGATATTGGTACTGTTGGCAGCAGCTTTACCCACTATGCCACAGTGACAGCCCCCAAATAACACATTTTTGTTTACTTGTCAAGTCTGTACTTTTTTGTTTTTGTAATTCACTAACTAATTTTTGTGGCCTTTATTTATTTCTTCAATTTCCTTTAGATTTATTGTTCTTTCTCATGCTCACTGACTTTTTTATTACTAATATTTTATTTGAAAGGTGGAATTACAGGGAGAGTGAGGGAAAGAGGTCTTCCATCTGATGGCCCACTCCCCAAATGGCCGCAATGGCTAGAGCTGCGCCAGGTCAAAGCCAGGAACCAGGAACTAGGAGCTTCTTCTGGGTCTCCCATGTGTTTACAGGGCCCCAGGCACTTGGGCCATCTTCCACGTGCATTAGCAGGGAACTGGATTGGAAGCGGAGCAGCTGGAACTTGAACTGGCGCCTCTATGAGATGCCAGCACTACAACCAGCAGTTTAACTCACTGCACCACAGTGCTGGCCCCATTCATTGACTTTCGAAAGCTCAAGTAATTTACTTCTTTTTTAAATTAACAATAATGTATTGTTTGTCATATATATATGTATATATACATATATATGTATATGTGTGTATATATATATGTATAGCATCTATACTTTATACTTGCCTATATTGTCTGACTGTTACAAAGAAATTATATTGCTCCTGTTAGAGAAAGGGGGAAAAGGAAGGAAGAAAGATAACAAAAAAGTCAAAATAGCTGACCAGGGCCAGATCTAGAGTAAAATGAGAGGCACTTGTATTGAGTAAGAAACTTAATAGGTACCAATAAATCTCAATAATCAAGTAATATTTTGATGCAACATTTTAGCATATCAAATTGGAAAACTATAGCTTACAGTACAGCTGTCTGCTTTTATAAATAAAGTTTTATTGGAACCAAATCCAGGATTAGGCTAAGGCAATGAAGCAAAATATATCAAGTACGCAAACAGATCATCTTTAAAATTTTTTTAAATGTTTTGTTGTAGCTGGTGTTGTGGCACAATGGGTTAAACTGCCGCCCGCAACACCAGCATCCCACTTGGGCAACCTATTCAAGTCGCAGCTGCTCTGCTTCTGATCCAGCTCCCTGCTAATGCACCTGGGAAAGCAGTGGAGGATGGCCTATATCCTTGGGCCCCTGCACCCACATGGGAGACCTCGATGGAGTTCCTGGCTGCTGATTTCAGCATGGCCCAGTCCAAGCTGTTAAGGCCATTTAGGGAGTGAACCAGTGGGTGGCAGATTTCTCTTTCTGTAACTCTTTCACATAAATGAATAAATCATTTTTTAAAATAAAAAATGGTTTGCTTATAATTAATTTAATTTTGCTTTCTGAAAATATTGCTTAAAATTTTATCTTGAAATTTTTGGCATCCTCCTAAATTCTGAATCCAAAGCAAGTACCTAACTTGTGTCACTTTACACACAGGCCTATAACTGACTCTTCCTTTTAAAATTTTTATTTATTTTCATTTTATTTCTAAGGCAGAAAGAGAGAGACAGAGAGGCAGACACAGATTTCCCATCCTCTGGTTCACTCCCCAAATGCCCATAATAGCCAGGACTGGGGCCAGGCCAAAGCCAGGCACCTGGAACTGAATCTGGGTCTCTCACACGAATGTCAGGGTGCAAAGTACATGAGCCACCACCTGCTGTCTCCCAGGGTGTATGGAAGCATGAAGCTGGAATGCGAAGCAGAGCTCGGACTCAAACGCAGACACTCTAACATGGAATGTGTGTGCCAAGTGGCATCTTAAGCACTGTGCCAACTGCCCACCTCCATAACTGACTCCAGAAAATAGTACAATTTTGTTTCTTTTTCTTCACATTTCTCTACGTTTTCCATATTGGACACAATTAGCATGGATTACCCTCCACAACCTGAAAAATAACTTTAAAAAGAAGTCAAGACTCACTCAGTGATATTCCTTGTGGTCTCCCCATGGAGCTTGCAGGAAACAAAAACTAGTGTGCGGATGGCCCTGCAGTTTCGAATGGCTTGGACCACTTGGTGATCTAAAGGAAGAAACACCTATCAATATTAAGCACTAGCAATATACTTAAACTATAATGGTCCCCACTATCATAAAATCCCAACTAGCTAGCATCTAGGATTGCTTGGTTATGGAAAAGCAGGTTCAGGGCTGGCCTACTGGGAGCCCGCTTAGCACGGTAGGGGAATGAGGAACCCAAGCTGGAGGACGTACGCAGCCCAGCACGGGGTGGGTTCACCACAGCAACAACTGGCTGCACGCCTTCCTTTGACTTGAGCAGCCACGGCAAAATCTTCTCAGCTCGACCGGCGTGAAACTCACAGTTGGTGATGCCTGCAGAAAAGAGGCCCGTATGACATCACTCAAGGACAGCAGTAGTAGGGGGAGAACTTCAGCTTTATGGAAATGTACAAGAGCCACAGCTCTGCCACCTCCCCTTTACATCTAGCATTCTTATACCAGTTATGACAAAATCAACACTTTTCCCTCCGGGACATCTCAGGAAGCCTTTCAACTCAACAACTCACAAGGCATGGATGTATACCAAGATGACAACCTTGACTTTTATTCAAGTGATCCTCATGCAGCCTGCAAGTGGGGTAGAGGGGGCCAGACAATCCGTTTTCTATACTGCAGTCTGGCATCCTTGGGTTTCAAGAAAGGGTTTTGTTGCTGAAAATATAGGTAAGAAACCAATTGTATTATACTATGACACCTCGCCAGTCTAAAGTCAAGATGGCTCTTCTGTTCTATGCCAAGCTCTGTCTCTGCCTTTCCCATCAGCTACACTTGTTTCCTTCCCTTGGGATCTTCCTCTGAAGAGAAAAAAGAATGATTAGATAGTGGGATCCTTCCCACAAAATCATCAGGACCCAACTCTGACCACTCTGGAACCAGCTCCCTGACGTCATGCAGGTTGGGGCTCCGGTAGGCATCTTCTCCACAGAACACTTTCTATAGCACGGAAACAACTGCATCTTCACGTCTCCCCACACTCTCAGCTGTGTACCATTGAAAGCAGCCGTCCACCTGGCATCCTCTACTGCCTGCTCCACCAACTCAATCCCAAGGACCTGGGAAGCGTGCTGAGCCAGAGACAGGCCAATCGCGCCTGGGGAAGTAAGAGAGAATGAGAAGAGGGTATTTTAGGATTTTAAACCAGTAAGGCCATGCATGCACCACTACCACCACCCGCCCCCTCCCCCAAAACCCCTGCAAGCTGCAAGGGCCCTGGGTACTAGGAGGTGAGTGCTGGAGGCTGAGCAGCATGCACATTCTGCTCCGGGCTGCCGCTTGCCAGTTCCACAGCAGATGTCAAGAAGGATGGTGTTAGCGTTCACTCCGCTCAGCTCCCCCACGGTCTGATACAGCATCTCTGCACCAGCAGTGTTGACTTGGAAAAAGGCATCAGGAGAAATGCGGATCTTCAAGCCCAGGAGACCTTCAAAGATGTAAGGCTCCCCAAATAGCAGCTGGTAGGGGGACTGCTGATGGCTGCAACGGGTCATGGTGCTAGGAAAGAACAAAAAAGGAAGAAGCAAATAATAAAAACAACAACAACAAAGACTAAAAGAGGAAAGCATCTTGGAATGGCAGACAATTCTACCTCCCATGGCTGGCGGAAGGGGAGGCCCCAACAACTCAATGAGGAGACACAGCCGCCTTGCCAGGGCCCTGTGAGCTCTGCAGGAGTCTGCCTGCCAGGAGATGGAAGTACATGCGGACACACCTCCACATCTTGGCCTGGGATCCGAGCCCAGCGGGGCTGTGTGAGGCCCAGGAACTCTTAGCCCAGATCTTGCATTAGTAATACACAAACTCAGATGACAGCAAGCCATGGCGCTCCCACTTGCTGTTTAGCTGCTCCCGGTTTACCTTTCTTGGAAGTAAAGTGAGGTCAAGTCACAGACTGCTCCAGGGCCTCGGAGGAAAAATTCCTTGATAGCCTCCTTCTGAACACAGAGCTCCTCCTGCCCAGACCACAAAACCAGGAGTCAAAGACTTATCTCTGACAAATGTCCCCGCCACGTTATGCAATAAGCCATATTTTTCGTTTTTTAACAATTATTTTTATTTATGTGAAAGACAGAGATACAAAGAGAGGTAGAGCCAGAGAGGTCTTCTATCTGCTGGTTCACTCCCCAAATGACCACAACGGCCAGAGCTGAACTGATCCGAAGCCAGGAGCCAGGAGCCAGGAGCTTCTTCTGGGTCTCCCATGTGGGTGCAGGGGCCGAAGGACTTGGGCCATATTCTACTGCTTTCCCAGGCCACAGCAGAGAGCTGGATAGGAAGTGGAGCAGCCGGGTCTCAAATTGGCACCGATGTGGGATGCTGGCGCTGCAGGCTGGGGCTTTAACTCACTACACCACAGCATCAGCCCCAGAAGCCACATTTTTTAAATCCTATCATAGATAACACTTATGGGGCTGGTGTTGTGGCACCGCAGTTTAAGCCCTGCTTGCAACACCAGCATCTCACATGGGAATGCTGTTTTGAGACCCTCATGCTCTGCTTCTGATCCAGCTCCCTGCTAATGCACCTGGGAAAACAGCAGAAGATGACCTGAATACTTGGGCCACTAACAACCACGTGGGAGACCCAGATGGAGTTCTTGACTCCTGGCTTCGGCCTGGCCCAGCTCCAGCTGTTGTGGCCTTTTAGGGAGTGAACCAGCAGATGAGAAAATCTCTCTACCGTTCTCTCACTCTGTCTCTCTCTTTATCACTCTGCCTTTCAGATAAATAAATCTTAAAACAACACAATCTAAAGCATCATTCTGTAGGACAAAAAAGAACTACACGCTGATTTTTCACATCTCAGTAGAAGCAGCATTTTGTTTAGCGGCTTTTGAAAAATCTCACACAATAGAATTGGCGCTTTCTCTCCTTTGAGCCTTTATATATAGTTATATATATATGTGTGTGTGTGTGTGTGTGTGTGTGTATTTCTCAAAGGAAACTGAGTTACACCTATTGCAAACAAGGAGCTGAACTAAGCCTCTGTCCCATCAGGAAGAGGCAAGAACCTTTCATTTCCCTTCATCCTACTCGACTTCAGACATCCCAACCACCTACCCAAACACCAGCTCAGAAGACACAAGTGCTAGGGGAAACAAAAGAGGGGGCACTGACAGCACTGAGCATGTAACTGAATCCTTTGTTTGTTTTTTGAGTTCAGAACATTTTAAAAACTCTTATGGAGAACCTAAGCATTAGCATGATACAAGCATATATTGTAGTCAATCATGTTGAAGCTATAGAGTTAAAAACATCAGGCATCAAAGGACCTGGGTTCAAATCCTAGCTTTGTTATGTACTGGCCCTATAACTTTGGGTTTTTCTATAAAATTATAGTGACAGGACCTCCCCTCCTGCCTCTTCAGTTTTGGGGGAGCTGAACACCTAAGTCCAGGAATGTTTAAACACAGGAGCATGTGAGAACTCTAAATGTATTACAAGTGCAAACTATTATTTGGGTTACAAAATTCTGAAGTTCTAGTCGCTACTGAATTGGCTTTTGGATTCAGGAGCACACCTAGTACATTGGGCAAAATTCTTGTGAAAACACTTGGGAGTCTTCACGGCATAATTAACGTGGTAATCTAGCCACATCCTTGCAGTCTGGTTCTGCCAGCAGTAGCTTTAAATAGTATCCTTGCCTCATGCCCAATCCTTCTGCCCACCAACACAAATCTGCGGTGGATGTGTAGCTTCTGCTCTCTGCCCTGAAACCTTCAAAAACAAACAGCAGCACTGTCACCTGACTTAATTCCTGCGGATGGAAGGTGACGATGGCCATCGTGTGCCCTTGGTGATTAGTGCGGACCGTGAGCTCACGCCAGTGTCCACCTTCGTGAAACAGAAGGCAGGGCTCCAGGGGAGACTGTCGGAGAAATACTTCGTAGCACTAGGAAGAAAACAGTACTGTTACACAGGCAAAACTAACAAGTGACATAACTGATGATGTATGCCAGGTATCTGAGGCTATAAAGTGCCCCCCCAACGTAATATGCTAATCCCCAATACCTTACAATATGACTGTAGAGACAGGACCTTTAAAGAAAGTGACTAAGGGGGCCAGCGCTGTGGCATAGAAGGTTCAGCCTCCACCTGTGGTGCCCGCATCCCATATGGGCACTGGTTTGAGTCCTGGCTACCCCACATCCAATCCAGCTCTCTGCTAATGGCCTGGGAAAGCAGTAGAAGATGGCCCAAGTGCTTGGGCCCCTGTACCCATGTGGGAGATCTGGAAGAAGCTCCTGGCTCCTGGCTTCAGATCGCCCCAGCTCCAGCCCCTGCAGCCATTTGGAGAATGAACTAGCAGATGGAAGATATCTCTCTGTCTGCCTCTCTAACTCTGCCTCTCAAATAAATAAATAAATTGTTAAGATTTAAGATAACAATAAAACTTAGAGATTTATTTTATTTGAAAGGCAGAGTTACAGAGACAGAGAAACAGAGAGAGAAAAAGAGAGGTCTTCTATATGCTGATTCACTCCCCAAATAGCCACAACAGCCGGAGCTGGACCAGGCAGGAGCCTGGAGCTTCTTCCATCAGTTATAATTTTTGAAAAATATTTATTTATTTGAGGGAAACAGAGAAGGAAATCTCCTATCTTCTGGTTCACTCCCCAAATGACTACAACAGTTGTGGCTGTACCAGGCCAAAGTTAAGAGCCACGAACTTAGTCCAGGTCTCCCACGTGGCTGGCAGGGACTCAAGTATTGAGCCATCAGCTACATCCTCTCAGAATGTACATTAGCAAGAAGCTGGTATTGGGAGTGGAGTCAGGACTCAAAGCCAGGCTCTCTGATACTGGATGTGGATATCAGACGTGAAATCTTAACTGCTCCCATATCTCTATTTCGTCACATACCAGGGGCTAACAGCACTATAGCCAGATCTGTCATTCTCTCCTAGTGAACATGAATCAAATGCAATCTTGACTTAGTTGTTGTGATCTCAGAAATTCTTTTTTTTTTAAGATTTATTTATTTATTTGAAAGTCAGAGTTACACAGAGAAGGAGAGGCAGAGAGAGAGAGAGAGAGAGAGAGAGAGAGAAAGGAGAGGTCCTCCACCCAATGGTTCACGCCCCAGATGGCCGCAACGGCCGGAGCTGCACTGATCCGAAGCCACGAGCCAGGAGATTCTTCCGGGTCTCCCACATGGTGCAGGGGCCCAAGGGCTTGGGCCATCTTCTACTGCTTTCCCAGGCCATAGCAGAGAGCTGGATTGGAAGTGGAGCAGCCAGGTCTTGAACCAGCGCCCATATGGGATGCCAGCACTTCAGGCCAGGGCGTTAACCCACTGAGCCACAGCGCCGGCCCTGATCTCAAAAATTCTTAAAGACACAGTTTTCAAACAAAAGCCAGGCACAGTGGCTGATTTACTAGTTCCTTTGGTTTCCATAATGCAAGCGTTCCAGGTTCACCATGTTCTCAAGAAACCCTGAATCAGGCAGTGAAGGGGAAATAACACAGAAAACCAGTGCTACCTGAGAGCGTAAAATCTATCAGAGCTGTAATTGATCATTTTTACTATATAACTTCTTATATGAGGGTATTTTAAAGATTTATGGAAAATGGAATTAAACCTATGTTTGGGCAGTTCTTTGACAAAGTGATTGACTCCTTACTTGAGATGCCCACATCCCATGTCAAAGATCCTGGGTTCAAGTCCCTGCTCTGCTCTCCACTCCAGCTTCCTACTAATGTGCACCCTGGAAGGCAGTGGTAATGGCTCAAGTACTCGGGTCCCTGCCACCCACTAGGGAGACCCAGATTGAGTGCATGGCTTCTGGCTTGGGCCTGGCCCAGCCCTAGGGTGATGTGGGCATTTGGGGAGAGAACCAGTAAATGGGAGACCTTTGTCTCTCTCTCTCTCTCTCTGTGTCTTTCAAATAACTAAAAATAACTTTTAATAAAAATTAAAATCTTAAAGATAAATTTATCTTTGTACAAAAACATTTTGATATCTATGCATAAGTCTTTCATCATATGAATTTTCTCTGCACTTTATGAATCCCTCATAAAAACAATATAAGATATGCTTAACTGTACTGAGTGTATTTTTTCATATTTTGATGTTGGTGACTTAAGGAAGAACTGATTCGACTGTCATTTACTGGCTGGTTAGAAAGGAATACTTTTTAGAAGATTCAAATGTCACAGAGGTCCTGGACGGATGGTAATTGAAAAACTGAGCCAGACCTGGGAGATAATGGGGAAATAAACATGAAATATAGCTTTTCCATTTGATGACCTTGGACCTTGGCTCTTCAGTGTAAAATGGGAGACTGCAATTCCTATTCTTATAAAAGAATCCCTAAGTATTACGATTGAAGGGATCTTCTGATAAAAACAACAGAACATTCCTCCTAAGAATCCTACTAAAGTGAGGGGCAGGTGCTTAATCTAGCAGTTAGGACATCTGTGGTCCACACTGGAGTGCTTTGGTTCGATGCCCACCTCTGGCTCCAGCTCTTGACTCCAGCTTCAGTCCCTGGGAGGCAGCAGTGATGGCTCAAGTAGTTGGACACTCCCAATTCCAGCCTCAGCCAGCCATTGGAGGCATTTGGGGAGTGAACCAGTGGACTGGAAGCTCTCTGTCTCTCGGCCTTTCAAATAGTTACACATATTTTATTTATTTATTTATTTTTTTTGACGGGCAGAGTGGACAGTGAGAGAGAGAGACAGAGAGAAAGGTCTTCCTTTTCCGTTGGTTCACCCCACAATGGCCGCTACAGCTGGCGCCCTGCGCTGATCTGAAGCCAGGAGCCAGGTGCTTCTCCTGGTCTCCCATGCGGGTGCAGGGCCCAAGGACTTGGGCCATCCTCCACTGCATTCCCTGGCCACAGCAGAGAGCTGGCCTGGAAGAGGGGCAACTGGGACAGAATCCAGTGCCCCGACCAGGACTAGAACCTGGTGTGCCGGTGCCACAGGCAGAGGATTAGCCTATTGAGCCGTGACGCCGGCCCACATATTTTATTATTATTATTTTTAAATCCTCCTAAAAGGTATAAGCTTATTTAAACTCATTTTTCTACCAATCATTCCTTCTCTTTCTCCTGTATCATCATTTTCCTCTCACTACTGGATCATTGCCATTAATATAGAAGCATGCTTATACTCTCCCTTTTCAAGACAAAAACCAGAAAGAAACCCTCTCAATCCCACCTTCTCCACAAGTGACTGCTCCATTTCTCTATTCCACTTTGCAGCAAAACTCCTCACAAGAATTATGTAAGTCTACGGCCTCCCACTCTTCTCCTTCGATATCCCCACCTGAATCAGGTCTCCAGTGCTCCACCAAAAGAGCTCACATTAACCTCACCAGGAACCTCCTTACTATGAAGTCCTATGACCATGCTACACTGGGCACAGCTGGAGAGCCCCTCCTCCTCGGTTCACTTTCTTCATATGGCTCCCAGGAACAGCTCACTTCCCTGGCTTTCCTCCAGCCTCATGGAGGTCAGTCTTCTACACTGCTTCCTCCTCTTCTCCTAGACCTCTGAAAATGGGAGCACCTAGGACTCAGTCTTTCCGACCTCACTATTTTCAATAGCCTCGACACACTAATACCACCTGGATTTCGCTCTTGAACTCCAGACTAATATATATCCAACTCTGTAGTTACCACATCTATTCAGATGTCACAAATGCAGTATGTCCAAAACTGAACTCCTAATCCCTTCCCACTGCCCCCATCCAGTTGCCTAAATCTGCTCTCCCAGTCATTCCACTTGCTCCACTCAAACACTTGGAGCCATTTTGTCAAACCTCTTTCTCTTCCACCTCTCATTTAATGCATCAACTATACATACATCCATTGCTACTACTGGTCTATATCAACTCTCACCAAGAACACTTCAACAGTCTCCAAACCTGTCTCCCCGCTTCCAACAACCCTCCTCAATAATCTATTCCCAACCCAATAACCAGAGTGATCCTGCTAAAACCCTAAATCATGTCACGACATTCCCCCATCAAAACCTCCAGTGGCTCCTCATTTCATTCAGAATAAAAGCTCGCTCGCTCTCTCTCTCTCGTCTCTTTGTAACTCTGCCTTTCAAATAAGTAAATAAATCTAAAAAAATAAAGTGGAAGAAACTGTCAAAGACAGAGATGGGATAAGGCATGTAGCTAAAATCAAAGCTTAGTTAAAAGCATGGACACAAAATTAGCAAACATCCTCATCCCACCAGGAACTCCCACCTCCCTCTACCCAAAACTGGAGATTCTTTTCTCAGGAGAAAATGAACCCGCAAAAGGTCTGAACTTAAAGAGATACCAAGTGGGGCCTGTGCTGTGGAATAGCAGGTAAAGCCGCCACATGCAGTGCCGGCATCCCATACGGGCACTGGTTCAAGTCCCAGCTGCTACACTTTCAATCCAGTTCTCTGCTATGGCCTGGGAAAGCAGAAGTTGGGCCAAGTCCTTGGGCCCTTGCACCCGCATGGGAGACTGGGAAGAAGCTCCTGGCTCCTGGCTTCCCATACGTACAACTCTGGCCATTGCAGGCATCTAGTGAGTGAACCAGCGGATGGAAGACCTCTCTCTGCCTCTCTATAAGACTGCCTTCCAAATAAATAAATAAATCTTCCTTAAAAAAAAAAAAAGAGAGATACCAAGCATGGTGGTAGTCATGAAGGAGAGCTGGAAGGAGAAAGATTCCATAGAAATTTTTGTTCTTAATGATGATAACCCTGTCCCCCTGTCTATACCGGATTCTAGAAATCCGGCAGCCAGGCAGTAGAGCTGAAGATGAACCTCTGGAAAAAAATGAATGGTCCAAAAAAAATACTCTGAGACAGAGATATGAGGAAGCCCCCACAATCACCAATAATGGGTCTGAGAATAGGCAAATGCACTCAAGTTGAACTGCGAATCAGTTTTTTAAGGTCTT